AATAAACTCTTCACCTGTCATATATTGTTGCTGCAGATAATGATTGTTGTGGGAAACTTGGATCATTGGTTTCTGTGCTTTCATTACTAGAGGTGTTTTCTATTCCCATGAGCTAAAAGTTGCTGCCCCAAAGTGATGGATGTGGATTATCTTACAAGCCACAGCCCTGGTGCAGAGTTGAGCAGGGAAATCACATGGTGAAGTTTTAAAGAAAGTACTTCCACTTGAAGTGTGCTTCCCTGGGCTCACTGGAGCACTAGGTCTAGCCCTCCTTCAGGGATGTTCCTTTTGGCAAATATATACTGTAATCTTGAGTCTAAATTTATATGTGAAAAGCTACCTTTTTTTAAAAAAAAGAAACTAAATAAAATTATTTTACTATCAGTGATTTGTGTTTTCCATATGTCTCTGTTCTTTTCTGTTGTCCTAATATGCTTCCAAGGCTTTCTTGCCCATTTCACTAGGTAGCCACTTTATTTAGTAGTTTTACTTAACTGTAGAGGCTTTCCTTATACTCCTCCCAGAACACTGCCTCCCTAGTATGAGAATATTAAAATAATTTTTAAATATTTTTTAATTATAGTTGACGTAGTAATTTCAGCTATATAATAGTGAGTAGACATTTCTATGACTTATGAACTGGTCAATAGATGGACTTACTCATATGTTGATATATATGCGATTCGATATGTATGCTATTTTGTTGTATTGCTCCTTCAGATTACCACTTGTTCTGATCAGTGGCACACGCACTTTCTGAGCAGCACTTCAAAACATATGAAGACGTGAAAAATCCGTACTAACCAGTTAAAATGCAGATTAACTATTAACCGGTTAATAATACGGATTTTGTAATCCAAAGAAGACACAATAATTTCAAGAGAAACATCAAAAGTGCTCTATTCAAAGTAATGTCCATCGCTAGCTACACATTTCTCCCATCTTTCAGGTAATTTGTGGAAACCATCCCAATAGAACTTCTCTTGTTTTGAGGCGGACCATTCAGAGACCCAATTTTTCACTTCTTCATACGTTTTGAAGTGCTGCTCAGAAAGTGCGTGTGCCATCGATTGGAATGTAATCTGAAGGAAGGCCTGGTGAATACAGCATGTGGGTTAATACTTCCCAGGCAGGATCTTTTAGCGTGTCTTTAACTGGTTGTGACGTGTGTGATGGTGCGTTACCATGAAGCAAAATTACTTTGCAGTGTCTTCTGGCCCGTTCTGGTTGATCACAGTATGGTTCAAATTGATTATTTGTTGTCGGTAATGATCAGTACAGTGGGGCCTTGACTTACGAGTGTCCTGACTAATGGGTTTTTTTGAGATATGAGCCATCTCTAGGCCAATTTTTTGCTTTGAGTTGCAAGGTCAAAAAAATTCGGGTTACAAGCCAGCTTCAGATACCCCACCGCTAATTGGCACAGAGAACGTCACAGTGATTTGACATACGAGTAATTTGAGTTATGAGCTCCGTCACAGAACGAATTAAACTCGTAAGTCAAGGCCCCACTGTATTAACGGTTTCACCTGGTTTTAAAAGCTCATGATACACCACACCTTCCTGATCCCACCAAACACAGAGTGTTGTCTTCTTTCTGAAGCTATTTGGCCGTGCAGTGCATGTTGATGGTGGACCTGGGTCAACCCATGATTTTGTGTGTGTGGGATTCTCAAATTAAATCCACTTTTCATCGCCAGTCACAATTCGATGCAAAAAAGACTTTCTTTCCTGCTGTTGAAGCAACATTTTACTGATGACTTTTCGGTTCTCCATTTGTCTTTTGTTCAGTTGATGTGGCACCCATTTTCCTTCCTTTAAAATCTTTCCCATTGCTTGTAAATGATTGGAAATTGTTTGCTGAGCAACTTTAAGTTTTCTGCAAGTTGTTTTTGAGTTTGACGCATCTTCATACAAAAATGCTTGTAATTGTTGGTCTTCAAACTTTTTCGGTTGATCTGCCTATGTGTAACTCCATCTATAGAAAAAAATCCACATTATTAACCGGTACACCTAGTAAGGATGTTCTGATTCATTGCGGGATGCAGCCAGCTACAGAGGGGGGAAGGGGAAGGATGGTGGGTGCCCTGCAGAGGCTGCCTGAGAGCTGGAGGAAGGGAGGAGACACCTTGAAGCAGAGGAAGGACAGGTTGTATACATTATCACTGGCAATGGTGATGTTAGCCCAGGAGCCAGGTTGGACCTGCTCTTCCCATGCTCTCGACATTCCCTTCTGGGGACAATTTCATAGTAATGTTGGGACAGCAGGGCTTGGTAATTGGGAGTTTTGAGGACAGCAGCACTTTACTCAGTTTCCTGTAGGATCCAACCCCATAGTATCCTACATCTGCTACTGCAGACCAGGGAAGTTTAATTGGAACCAATTATCCTCCAGGTGTTTGGTAGGTATGAAATTGAAGTTGGACTTTCCTTTTTGCTGTGGGTAAGGAATGTTGTGACCAGAAGTTGACTGACTTCTACTTGCTTCAGGATTAAGTCTCAGATGTGTGTATACAAGGCTTTTTGTTTTTTTGTTATTTTGCCCCCACTGACCTGCTTGCCCAGATTCTTTTTTTTTAATTTTTTATTACAAAGGGTATTACATATGTGTCCATTTTTGCCCCCCGCCCTAGACAGTCCCCTAGCCTCCCCTATCCCCCAGTGTCTTATGCCCATTGGTTATGCTTATATGCATGCATACCAGTGCCCAGATTCTTGATTGTACCTTCTGTCTATCTCTGCATATATTGTTCCATCTGCCCAACTTTTCCCCAAAGCTCCAACTTTCCTTTGCTAACTCCTAATGGTGTCTCCACTTCTTCAGACAAGTAACCCTGCATGATTGCCCAGGTCAATACCCCACGTGTCCCCCTTCGTAACATTTCACACACCTTACATTACCTGCTTAATGTCTTTCCCACAAATCATTCAGCTCTCCAGGGGGCAGGGACTGTGACCATGGTCTTCCCTGGGGTAGTAGTATTGCTCATACTTAACATAATACCTGGCCCATATGAGTTATTCCTTTGTGTTGCATGAACCAAAGGATGAATGTGAAATGCAGGCTAAGTGACTAGTGGGGAAAAGGACATAGAAGTTAGGTTAGAGTGTCCATGTCAGGACTTAATGTGAACAATGAGCAGATACCAAACATCTCAACCCGTTAACCCATCCTTGCAGTGCTCGCTCCTCAGTGGATTCAGCAGAACAAGTTTATGCACCTAGTATAGCGGCAATTATTGGGTGAGTTAGTTCACCCAGTCTGTGGGAATCGACATGTTTCTGTCTCTGAGTAGACTTTAAGTTTCTGTAGTGGAGAGAGCACAGGGCCTGATACATATACGAGTGCATCATAAAAGACATTGAATTATGTCTTCAGCAGCAGTGAGCTAAGCTAGCTAGATTTTAAACCTTGACCACAGCCCTCCAGGAAAATCTCAACAAGCCGGCCCAGCCCCTCAGCTTTCTCCTGGTCTCTGGTCTGTGAATAAGCATTTAGATCCTACAGTTGTCCCTTGAGCAACCCTGCAAGTCAAAACTCAGCATATAATTTTTGACTCCTCCCAAAAGCTTACGGATAACAGTTGATTAACATATTTGTATGTTACTATGTATTACATATTACTACAATAAGGTAAGGCAGAGAAAAGGAAATGTTATTAAGAACATCGTAAGGGCCCTAGCTGGTTTGGCTCTGGATAGAGCAGGGGTCCTCAAACTTTTTAAACGGGGCCAGTTCACTGTCCCTCAGACCATTGGAGGGCCGGACTATAGCTTAAAAACAAAACGGGAACAAATACAATATTTGTATTTGCATGTGGCCCGCGGGCCATAGTTTGAGGACCCCTGGGATAGAGCGTCAGCCTGCGGACTGAAGGTTCCTTGTTCGATTCTGGTCAAGGGCACATGCCAACGTTGCAGGCTTGATCCCTAGTAGGGGAAGTGCAGGAGGCAGCCAGTCAATGACTCTCTCATCATTGATGTTTCTCTCTCTCTCCCTCTCCTTTCCTCTCTAAATTCAATAAAAAATATTTTTTTAAAAAAAAGAAAATCATGAGGAAAATACAGTTAGAGTATTTATTGAAAAAAAATCCATGTGCAGTGGACCCATGCAACTCAAACCCATGTTGTTCAGGGGTCAACTGTAGATGCTGTTGATTCATTGCTCACTCCAACTGTCCATTATATAGACCATAACACAGAATGACATTTTACTTATTTCCCTTACCGTGTCTCTCTGGAATTCGTACCTTTTTCTTTTTTTCCTATTTATTCATTTTTCTACTTTCCATCGCCTATAAATTGAATGTGTCTCCCTGAAGCATATATGTTGAAGCCCTAATCCCCAGTGTGATGGTATTTGGAGGGGCGGCTTTGGGGAAGTGAACAGGTTGTGAGGGTGGAGCCCTCGTAAATGGAATTAGTCCCCTTATGAGAAGACACAGGAGAGAAATATCTCTCTCTTGGCAATGTGAGGACACAGCAGGAAGGCAGCCATTTGCAAACAAGGAAGAGGGCTCTTGCCAGACACCAAGTCTCTGGCACCTTGATCTTGGCTTCCCAGCCTCCTGAACGAAGAGAAATAAGTCGTTTAGGACACCCAGTTTATGGTATTTTGTTACAACAGCCTGAGCAGACTAAGACACCATCTACTTCTATTTTTTCTCTTCAATTTTTTTCTTTCTTCCTATAAGTAATTATTGGGTATCTAGAATGTGTTAGTTGCCAAGGTAACAATAAGGCTTATAACCTTGTGTGGGTGGGGTTGGGGGTTTGGCAAGCAAATAAAAGGCACTTACAGGGTAAATAACACTGAGTGGCCACTGGGTGCAAGGGGCACAAATGAGGCTCAGACCAGCCTAGTGGTTTCTAGGAGGCAATGTCAGATTTTAGCCAAATTTTAAGGTTGGACAGGAGGTAGCCAGCCAGCTAGAGAGGTGGTGATGGTGTAATGTGTTCCAGGCAGTGGGAGCACCAGATGGCATTTTAAAATGCAATTCACTGTCTCCCCTTGCCCCAGTAGTGCCATGTCTGCACTTCACAAGTGTTTCACTGCAGGGATCCTCCCGCACTATGGAAGCTGCAGGCATTCTGCACATATATTCAACTCAGATATGCCCAAAACTGTCTCCAGGAACAACCCTCAACCAGTGGGAGACAGGAGCCCAAGTGGTCAGGGAGGAGGTGACCTTTAAAACCTTCCCAATGCAAACAGTTACCCTCCTGACACAATACGAGAAACAATGTGAATATCAAACAATTCAACCCATGTTTGAGTGCCTGGTATGTATTAGGAAACCTAAATCGTGTAAAGTATTGGGCCAACAGTGAACAAGATAGTGAATAAGACAGATACCATCTCTGCTCTAAGAGTGAACAGTAATGTCAGCTATGGACTTAGCTGTTGGTTCATGGGTTGTAACAAACAACCACTCGGGTGCAGGATTTTGATGGTGGGGGTGGGGATATATGGGAACTCTGTATCTTCCACTCAGTTTTGCTGTGAATCTAAAAGTATTCTAAAAACATAAAGTGTTAATAATAAAAGTCTATTTTAAAAAAAGTCCTTTCAAGATGTTTAAGCAAGGGAATGATATGCTTACATTGTTTTAAATCTGTCCTTTCCCAACATGTTTCCAACATCTCACCATATTTCTTTACCTACTTTCAACATCCAAAGCAACATTAAAGTCCTAACTGTCCAAACATTTCCAGGTCAATAATTTACCTCACTGTGAAATGTCTGCAAATGAATACCTGGAAACAACTTAGCAAAAGTATCAGTGGACAGGTTCCACAGAAGGTGCTGGAAGGAATACAGAAACATATCAAGGGCCTTAAACTAATGACCTCTGCCTGAGTTCTTCTCCCTGTGCAAAACCATCAGGGGCTGTGCTCCATACCAGCTCACAAGCCCCAAAGCTAATGGATCCACGAATGCAGGCTAATGAGCAATTCTGTAGTCTGTTGTGAGAAATACAGAGAGATGGCCCTGAAATAAGTGGAAAACAAATTAAAAAACCATTTAATGAATTTTTGTGCTTCATATATATTTAATGTTTGTAATGGTAAGTAATAGAAACCACAGTAGACTTCTTGGATTTTAGGAAAAGATTTATTACAGTAAAAATTCCCCATAAAATAATGTATAAATATTATTTATTTTTTAATATATTTTTTATTGATTACAGAGAGGAAGGGAGAGGGAGAAACATCAATGATGAGAGAGAATCATGGCCCATT